TAGCCGGCGGATAGTACCTGACAACTAGCGCTGTATCAGAACGCACCACCGAAAACGATAAATACCGTTACGCTAACGTGAAAATGATAGCATGCAACAAATATTACAGCGCAAACAATCAGTCCTAGGCCAAGCGATTGAGTTTTAAAAATGCTGAGATCACATGTATTTGTGTCAATAGAAAGGTTGACATCATTAATAGAGGAAATTTATTAATTTTTGAAGTATAACTAAGTGCTTCAGTCCTAGCAACGAAATTCATCTGCTTAATCGACTTTCATTTTGGAGATATATGGGGACAATTGAATCAAAAGAATAATTTATTTAAGTAGAGCCAGTTTAATAGAAAATAAATATGAGAGTGGAACCCTTCGAATTAAAAATGGAGTTTTATGGAAAAATCCACTAAAAGCAAACATTTTATGAACACATTGAACTTAAAAGATGAGAAGATGGGGAATAGCAAGACCATTCAAATCATTACACTGAGACGTCTTGGGATAACTGGTAAGTTAAAATCACCATCCAAAACAAAAATTTTCTTCGTATATCTCAAAATCCCTGTTTGAGCTATTCCCCGGTATTACCAACCGGGTAACATGTAGGAACTGTGAATCTAAATCATCCAAGAAACCACTCAAACCCAAAATAATTTCGCCAAAATTGGTTTGGTCATTTAGGTGGGCATAAGAGACTTACAGACAGAAGGACAGACATTCATTTATATATATAGCCTGGACGCTGCTAAGCACACGGGAAATGGAGGCGTACCATAACTGCGAACTCCAAAAGTGCGGATAAGAAATAAAATGTTGTACTTACTTCAGTCAAACTTTCTTTTTCACAATTATTGCAAAGCAAAAATATTGAGGGCCTCAATCGAGGTAAAAACTTTTCTATATATTATGGAGATAATAATGTAATATATATTATGAACTATTCTATACATTATTTAGATAGAAGATAGTATATAGATTACTATCGTGGTCGGTGACGGGAATACCCGAAATACACCATGCAATTATACATAAGTATGTAAATGTATTAAAAAGTTAATAAATATATTTAAACATTTTAGATAAAAACTATCCTATCTTTTAAGTTAGATCAAAATACACAAAATGTAGAAAGTTTCATCAAAATCCGTTCAGTAGTTTCGGAGTTTATCACGAACATACATCGTGACACGAAATTTTTATATATATGGACTTATATATATCAATATTGATAAAATGCCATACAAACATCTTACCATTGATTATAAATAGTATTTATAATCAATGATCCTACTAAATAATTATAAAATATATGATACAAATGATGAGGAATTTAGGTAGTGGTATTAATAACTAATTTTGTATTTTAAAGTATGACGTATTTTGGCAATTCGGTGTTATGTGATTGGGCGTTTTCATTATAATACAGCCTCTACATGACTACATGAGTAATGAGTATAATGACTATTAAGTAATAACTAATGACCGTTGACTACGTACTGTACGTACTTACAAAAACTCTGTTCGAACGCGGCTGATTTTCCCGCCGAATCGCTTATGCGGGCATATGGCCAAAGGCTTTACAAGTCTCCGCGATCGGTGTGGAGTGTCCGCGAAAGGTCATCCCCCCTCTACGCACTCGCGGCCGGCGATGTCCACTGTAACCTTCGTCCGTTCGTTGTCTGTTTTTTGTCTTTTCCAGCGGTCGAGCGAGACGCAACGCACCGTCCGCTCGCCGCCGCCGCCACAGCCACCACAACTGTCAACCTCGTGTGTTCACGAAATTCGGTGTGTTGTGAGCGTGTGCCGTCTTGAACCAAAATTGTCGTAAACCACGAGATAGTCGAGGTTTGACGAATTTGGTCGACTACGATATTTTATGGAACGTGTTGACGTTGTGGTGTCCCAGAGTACGCTGTCGCCTTTCCAGCCGGCATTATCATTGCGCAGAGGTGCCGATCAGGTATATATATATATGACCTATATACATTTTGTTATTTTGTTACCAATCCATAAACTTATATTTCACAAGTTTTTTTTTTTTATTTGTTTATCATTATTATTGTAAATTTATATTATTATTATTATTCATTGTAGCGCGTATATTGCCCGGGCGTTTTAATTTACTTATTATTGTTTTACTGTAAAATATACGAATTGCGCACTGCGCTCATTAAAAAGTACTTACTGTATAAACCTAATACATTAGGCCTTATATATAGAGCTGAGTAACCTTTTACCGTCCCCAACATTTCGCAAGTCGTTGCCGCTAACCGCGTTCCAAAGTAGGAGTGGCTTCGGCGCAGACAAACTCAACGACGTAATTGACGTATAAGTTGGCCCTTTAAAATCACCAGTTTTATCTATTAACATAATGCAGTATAATATTTTCTTCTGAAAATATACAAATTACAATTCTCAGTAGTCAGTTATATCATTTTGCAAAGAATAATAGTGATAAATTATGGTTATTAGTGTTTATCAAGTACCTACCTATGTACCTGCAAATAATATTCTTATCTAAAATATTATGAGACCTATAATGTTAACCTTCGAACTATTAATAGTACTCAGTTATCATTAATAATACATATACTTTTACAATGTTAGTATTTATGATGTTTAATTTATGCTGATACTACTGTATCTAATATACTGTTATAATTTCGAATTATTATTAATTAATTATATAGATAAGCCATTATATTAAGTTTTCACTTTTTTGTTACGTTCAGTAATTATTATGCGTGCTCTTAATTGACATTTTTTTCACCATCTAATAATTTATATTTACATAAAATATGACGCAAGTATTTTAATACTTTTAAGACCTTAAGAGGACGCCATACGGGTATTTGTTGTCTCCGTCTGCCAAGAGTACAACATAGACAATTTCAAGTTCACAATAATACATTTCACTTCTTTAATTTCTCAAATTAGAGTGAATTTACCTCTTATTAAATTCCAAGGCAAGATTGCAAGAATATTATCTAGGTGCCTTAAAATTTACCTATGTTGGTAAAATTTGACTTGTTGTAGGTACGTTTGTAAGACGGAATTCTGACGGATACAGTTAGGCGGACACTACAGTTTTACCTACATTTATATTACTTCTAGTACCTCTAGGTTTGATACTATTCAGTGAGATTTTCCTTTTAAGAGTATATTTATCAACCTAACGATTATTTAAACTTGGTGTTTGACATTCGACGATTGATACTTCGATAACATCATTTGTTTTTATAATTTTAAATGAAGGAAAAAAACTAATAAATTGTTTACGATTTCATTTAGTAGGTAGGTATGTGTTTTTATAACACGAACAACGGTATGCCGCAGCATTGCTCGAATTTGAAGGTTGGCTCATCAATTATTTTATTACGGAATTTAAATGCACCAAAAATGTGCAGCGGCACAATATTAACTGTACAAATATTGATGCCGAATTTAATCGAAGCTACAATATTGACTAGCAAAGCGAAGGGGAAAGTTGTACTCATCCCATGTATCCCTCTGATAACCAACAGACTTGCCATTTGAATTCAAACGATTGCAATTCCCCATGCACCTATCTTTCGCCATGTCCATCAATAACGCACAAGGACAAACGCTCCAAGTATGTGGTTTGAATTTGGAAGAGCCTTGTTTTACGCACGCAACTATACCTGTTCAAGAGTTGGCACTCCAAATTCTTTATTTGTGTATGCCCCCAAATGGACAAACAAAGAATATTGTTTACCCAAAGGTGTTGGATTGATAATAAAGAATTTGGAAAAAAATAAATGATTTTCTAGGAAAAATTATATGAATTTTATTGCATTTTTGTTTTGGTGCTGTGAAGCGCACAGGGGTCGGCTATTAATTATTATAAAACTAACTCTAACTGAACAACCTACGAGCTATTACTTTTTTTTGGTAAATTCACGTCGTTTATTTAAGGAATGTTGTTAGGGGACGGAAAAAAGAAAAAAGGTAAATAATATATATCTGATTTAAGAATTTCATTTAGAGAAAGCAGTAACTGCACACGAGCGAAGCCGGGTTATTCAGCTAGTTAAATATATTTAGTGATTTATTATAATTTATTTTAAAACATAAATAAATAACAAGTTAAAATGACGAAAATCTTTTAAAATATGGTCTAATTAATCGATAGTTATGTTTGAGATTGTAATGGATTTGGCAAAAGTACAAAACTAAGTACATAATATAAGTATATATTTCACTAAAGAGTTTGTCCATCAAATGCAAGTGTGGTGTGTGTTGGTAAGTTCTACGTTTTTATTAAAAACCTATTATAAAAAAGGGGGAGCGTAAAATGGACGAAAATATTTCGGGTGATCCTTATTTCAGCCGAAAAATTATAACGTACACAAGTATATTAGCAGAACTGTATTTTACCCGGCACTTATTTTATTCGAACCGTATTTCAGAGCAAGTCGAGAGATATTTTCGTTATTTTGTCCGAGCGCAGCGTAGCGAGAGAGTGACCACTCGGGCATCACTGTAAATAATTTACGTTTTTACACGTTGGCAATATTGCTGGATCACTGCCCACTGGGGACGCCATTTATACGGTTGAATGTCAAATAGTTGATGTTTTGATGTTCAAGTTTTTGAATGTTCAAGATGTTGATATAAATTTATGTTCAAGATTTTATCGTTCAATATTTTGGCGTTCAATTGTTTGACATTCAATATTTTGAAGGCCTCCCCCCACAGGTATAAATATAAAATCTATAACTGTGGTTACCTCTTTAATATTACCACAGATTAAATGAAACCAGATAGTGCACTCATGAAAGTCGGTAATATGTAAACAAATTTTTGTACTTCTCAAATCAGTCTGGCTAGGAAAGGAAAAAATAAATTTACCATATTTCATAAAACTGGTCATACCGTACGCTATATGTTATCAAACATATTTCATGATAATGTTTTGTTTATGTGTTTGTTTGGTCACGTGCTTAAAATTTAATTTTTATAAGTACTTGCAAAATTTTTGTTAACTTTTCATAATTATTATTTTATGATGGAATTAAAAAAGGGAAATGGCTTGTCATGCGCAGTAAAATACTGCAACAATAAGTCGAGAACCTCTGTTGGTGTTAGTTATTTTACTATGCCAAAAAATACAGAAAGGTAAATAGCATTATATTGTTTATTTTAATTTTAACTTAACTTACTAATTATTTTATTTTTTAGACGTTCCGAGTGGATTAAGCAATGTTTGCCTGAATATGCTGATAAAAATGCATTTGTTCAGAACCTGAGAATATGTAGTGAACATTTTGAAGACAAAATGTTCCTTAATGTTCAAAAAAAAAACAGGCTGACTGATTTTGCAGTTCCAACATTATTCAGTGGTGAGATATCATTAGATGTATCTTGGACCTCAATTTAATATTATCATTTAAAACATATATAGTTTAGATAGCTCACTGTCTAATATTTGGCTAAAATAGGTACTTATTACTTATTAGTGTATTAATTTAGCTCTCACTAATTTTAGATGAAATTCTTGCGAAAAGAGAATCCGAGAGTGATTCAACAATGAATGAATCAAATGATCTATCAACACCAATGGCATGCTCAAGCCCAATTTCATGTCCTAGCTGATGTAAGCTCCTCGTTCTAGGTTATTTAGTCAATCATTTTTCTTTCATAAATATGTTATTAATTTGTATTTTTTTTATTTTTAGGCTCATCTTTAATTAATACCTCTGACTCTTCTTCTCAGACTCCAGATCATTTGTCATATTCTACACCCAGGAAAATTTTGTTAAGATCGGAATTGAAAGAAGCAAAGGAAAAAATTAAGAATTTGGAAAAAACTGTTGCAACTCTAAGTAATGTATTAGCAGATAATGATTCCACAGATGTTTTCTTAAAACAATGCCAAAAATTTTTATCTCCTACATTACTCTTAATTGTCAGGTCTCATTTAATGTTTAAATCTAGGAAAAAAACAGGTTACAGGTATTCAAAATCTCTAAAACAATTTGCTATAACAATTTATTTTTTAGGCCCCAGAGTGTATAACTTTATCGTTGCCTAGTATAAGTACACTTAAGCGATCTACCTCAAAATTTGAAATTCAACCAGGTCTTAATGATTTCCTATTTTCCTTTATAAACTTAAAAACCAAAAATTATTCTTCTGAAGCAGTACAGTGCATACTTTGTGCAGACGAAATGTCTATAAAAAGTCATTTATACTATTTGATAAAAAAAGATGAAATCATGGGATTCAACATAACAAACTATCGCAAGACTTATGAACCTGCGAAGTTTGCATTAGTATTAATGCTCAGGGGTATTAATGTGAATTGGAAGTTGCCTTTAGCGTATTATTTAGTTTCCAGTACTTGTACCGGGTATGATTTACAAGACATAATTTTTACAGCACTAATAAAACTACAAAGTACACCATTGGATGTTAAAGCCTTTATTTCGGACATGGGATCAAATTTTATAGGCTTAAGCAATAATTTTAGTATTTCTCCTTCTCGTCCGTATTTTGAAATCAATAACAAAAAGATTTTTTATATTTTTGATCCACCACACCTTCTCAAGGCTACTAGAAATATGTTTTTACAACATAAATTTAAAGTAGATGACAATTTTATTGACAAAAAATATGTTGTGTCGTTTTACAAGAAAGATAGTGCTAGCAATTTAAGATTAGCTCCCAAATTAACTAACTCACATGTCTATCCTAATGCATTTCAGAAGATGCGTGTTTATTTGGCGGCACAATTGTTTAGTGCCACAGTGGCAGCCGGCATGAAAACATATTTAGCCTTAGATAAACTTCCTTTTAAGTCGAGGCCTACAATTGAATTTATAGAAAATATTGATAAATTATTTGACATTTTTAATTCTTATAAAAGGCCGAATTCAAAAGATTATAATAGACCATTTATCAATTCTCAGCTTCAAAGATCACACCTATTATTAATGGAAAAAATGTTTAATTCTTTAATAGTTTTAGACAAAAATAATATAGATGTAACTAAAATAATGAAGTTTATAAGAGGATGGTTAGTTTCTATTGCTAGCTTAAATTTATTGTGGCAATCCTTATCTTCTGTAATTACTAGGCAAAATTATGTTTTATTTACGAACAGGATCAATCATGATTGTCTTGAGAACTTGTTTTGCACGTTTAGGCAGAGACAAGGAAATAATTTCAATCCAACTCCAGTACAATTCTATTATTCATTTAAAAATATATTTTTCATGAATTATTTTAAACATTCCAACAATGCTAATTTCCTGCAAGATTTTGATGACATTCTATCTAATATTCAAGACCCTACCATTTCTGAGGTTCAAAATATTATGTTTCCAGATAAAACTCCATTTAAATTTAAATCTTCAATACCGGTAACATCTGTTGATTATCGGGATTTAGAATTGCCTGATCAAAATAGACTAACTTATATTTGTGGCTATTTTATTAAAAAATGTTTGGAAACACATATTTGCGATATTTGCTTAAATTATGCCAAATTTCAAAAAAATTTAGAACCATCCTTTTTATTTTCTTACTTTAAAGCTTATGAAAATTCTGAAAAATCCACTTTTGGAAACCTATAAATGCCACATTCAGAATTTTATAATTATATAAATAGTTTAGAAACAGTGTTTATTAATCGTTTCCCTGTATTAGCAGCTGAGAATAAAGTAGGTGAAAAATTGAAACTTAGTATGCTATCAATTTACTATTCTCACCCGTGTGAACATTTTAATAAAGACTATCTTTTAAATTTATTCATAAGATTTAGGATTTATTCATCATTAAATTTTTTAAATAGGGAGATGGCTTCTGAAAAAATAAGGAAAAATAGAAAATTAGCAACATTAAAACATTTATAATTATTAATTATTAATAACTGTTATTTTTTATTTGTTAATATGTATCAATATGGATCAACATGGATCAATATGGAACAATATGATCTACGAGAGTAGGGCGTCATTCCAATGAAATTGTATCTAGATAGTTATTTGAATAAAAATGTATTTGAGTTATCTGAAAACATTATTATTCCAATAATAATATTTTCAAATTATTCAAATAAAAATGCATTAATTAATTGGAATAAAATAGTGTCTTTTTATCTGTGAACAATATTTTTCGTAAATTATTGTATTACAATATTTTTGTTACTCCTATTTGGACCTACTGCATCGCGCAGTAACCAATCAGATCCTGTTGTTTGGAAATCTATTGTTATATTCCGAAGTGCACTATCTGGTTTCATTTAATCTGTGATATTACCATGGACATTTACCGTTCGGCTGAAATATGGAACGGATTTAATATTTATCGACTTAAATACTGTCAGATAAAATATTTTCGACTGAAATAATGTCGGCTACAATATTTTCAGAATTTTTATAGCCCAGGTAATAACAATTGTAATTGTATTATTAAAAACTACTATTAAAACCATTTTGATCAACTGATGATGTAATTGACGATTTCACTAAAAACAAGATGCATCGATTTGATATCTAACTAAAATATTTTTATTATTTAGGTACCTGTGTTTAAAAAAAAAATATTGAAGATCATAACTAAATTATCTTGTGTATATTGGTGTGTTCGAAGGGTGGAGGGGGGAGTTGTAAGTTATCAGAACCACTGCTTACACTCATTCACATCCCACGCCACGTCACATGGTGTGTTAAATAGGTAGATATTTAATTAAAGAGTTTAATAATGTGGTTTCGGGGTCTCCAGTTTATTGATATGAATTTCAAAGCAAAGCAAAATGCAATTCTAACCTAAAGATTCCGCCAGGGAAAAAATAATCTTCCCGAACATTTTAGTTTTATTTTACTTACATAGCTAATTTATAAATATTATATGAAATACCTGTATAAAATTGTTATCGCTAATTGATGATAATCTAACTTGTAATTATGCGAAAAACGACTAGTAGTATTGTACTATTGTCCAACGCTAATCTAGTTAGTCTCAATTTATCATCGTGTCATTATACTTCGCAATAATGAATTTCGAAATCGTAGCTGGTGAACGAGAAAATGACTCATTTATCAAAATGAAAATTTTTTTAAAACAAACTTTGTGAAATATTTATGTGCGTATAAGTGGAAATGTGTTAATAAAAAGTGTAACGCAAAAATATACATTAACGAATCCTTAACGGAAATTTTAAAATATGATATTGACCATAAAAATCATGAAAAACAGTCAATAAATGTATTGAAAAAAAAACTATTTTCAAACCAACTCAAGAGAAAACTTACAGATGTAACAGAAAGTTCTTTAAAAATTATAAATCGTGAAATACTAAAAAATCCTCAAATTGAAAATATCATGGAAAATGACTATGTTGACAATATCAAACAATGTATACATCGAGAACGTAGAAAACTCATACCTTCGCTTCCAAAAAATCTTATTGAAGTCATTGAAGCTATGAATAATCGTGAAATAAGAACTGTTGAAGGTGAGTCATTTTTAATACATACAGATTTGGTGAACAATATGTGTTTTTCTACAGACAGTAATCTAAAGGCTCTAAGCTCGTCTAATATAATATTTGTTGATGGTAAATTTTCTTCGTGTCCTATGTTTTTTTATCAACTTTTTACAATCCATGTAAATATAAATGGGCATTATGTTCCATTAGTTTTTTTTTATTACCTAACAAAACAACACATATTTATGAATTAGCATTTAGCTTTTTAAAAACTAAATGTGCTGAATTAAATTTAAATTTAAAACTGACAACAATTGTGGCTGATTTTGAAGAATCTATTCATGCTGGGGTAAAAATGATTTGGTCATTAATACAAGTAATCGGATGCAGATTCCATTTAACGCAAAGTTGGTGGAAAAAAATCCAAGAAATTGGATTAACAGACGTGTATAAAAATAAAAACTGTGAGTTCGGAATATGGTTAAGAAAAATATTCAGACTTTCTTTTATAGGTCCAGAGAAGTTTCTGATTGTTTTATAGAAGAGTTTATGGTACACTGCCCTAATGATCCAAAAGTGTTAACATTTTGTGATTATTTAACTGAAAACTACATTGACGAGTTTTCGAGATTTCCACCCAATGTTTGGGCCTCTTTCTCCATTAGTTCTGAGCGAACCACGCTTTATTTATCTTTCCACGCAAAACTAAATTCTTTGTTTACAAAATCACACCCAAACATTTTTTTATTTATACACGTCTTAAACACAAGGATCCAAACAGATACGTACATTATCCTCAGATCAACTCACAAAACAAAAATTAGTAAGAACACAAAATATATTCATCAAAAAATAAAAATCGAAGATTTATTAAAAGATTATGAGGCTAAAAAAATTAACCACTCACATTTCATTAGTTTGACATCATCCCATTATAAAAAATAACATTGTAAAACTTATTTTATTTTTTATTTATTTATTTGAAAACTTAAAATTATATTTGATTAAATTAATTTATATTAAAATTTAAAATTCAATATTGAATTATTTTGTAGATACCTAAATTATTATTATTATACAATTTTATTTATTTAACTATATTGTATTATTGTATATATATATTAATTCACATTGCATTAGTTTGGCATCCATCATACTATACAAATATCATTGTATAACTTAAAACTATATTTGACTAAATTAATTGTATTATTATATATATAGATATATTGTATTGTATTAATTAGTATACTGATTATTAATTTTATTTTTAATATTTAAATTAATTATTGAATTATTTTTTAGACACATTATTATTGTTATAACCGAAACA